ATTTCTTAGTTTGCCTGTTAGAGGTTGAGAGGCTAAATACTTTCTTCTGCCTACATTTCCCATGATACCATGTGGTTTTGTATTTAAGCCAAGTTAAATTATTGAAAATTTTATCGAATATATTTTTATTGATATTGATCAGGTGTCTATATATTTATATTGATTTATTGCCCAGCCCTAGTTGTTTCCCTGAATGCCATCCAAGTTGATTTATTCTGTTATGCAAGGGATTTGGGTTATTCTGTCTCATGGCATTTAACATGTAGCACTAATATAAGAGACTCTTTGTTTTTTTTCCAAAATATATTTATAAATCTAATAAAGGATCAAGTACTTATTTCAACAGATATATATATATATATTACGTGTAAAAACAAAAAATGCAATATGTCTAAAAATCCTGCATCTGTTTTTTCTAGTTTTGTAAATCATCCTACACTTGACATTTAATCTTCTTGTCAGGCAATGTGCTTTCATATGATTATTATTGGAATAAGATTTTTTTTCCCCCTCTTTGTCAGGGCAGTCACAGGATCTAATTTGCTGTGGCATCTAATTTTGCTTTCATGCAGCTGTCAAGACATTATATTGAAAGTGGTGTTTGCTTGTAAGAAAATGGCTTTGATCAAAAACGCTCTTCCCGATTACTGTTCTAACACCCTGCTTATCAACTGTATATGAAATGCCAGCTCAGACAAGTTGTTCAAGCTTTTTTTTTTTTCCTTCCAAATGTAGACTTTATGCAGCAAGCTGTGATTGGCTATGCATCAGATTAGTCTTATCTTGGTTGGTTTTTTTTGTTTGTTTTTGTTTTATTTGCATTTCAGAATTGTTAGTGTGAGATAAGATGCCATCGCTTACAGGGAACATGCCAACATATGCCAGGAAGGATGACTGTATTGAGCTGATTATTTATTGGATAAATAAACAATATTTTTTGGATGCCATTCCACATCCCTTCTACAGTGTCCTTTGACATACTATTTTAAGTTTGAGTCTTTTATATCAAGTGCAGTATAGGTTTCCTAACTTTGGCAATAATGCTTTTGTTGGCTGGAATCATTTTCCAGAGATTACATGTATGCAGCAGATCATAGCTGATTATGGATAATATAAGTGTGTAGATAGACTCCTTAAGGCTGACCTAACCTTAATATCTGGAAACACATTTATGGAGATTTCCTTTACTGTGTTCAGAATACGGGATGCTCATCCACCCTTTACACACTGTATTTCTTCTAAAAATGTACATCACACTTAGATGCAGTTTCACATTTTCATGTGTTATTTAAAAAAAAAAAAGAACAATTCCTCTGCAGTGTTAATCTAACACGGTAGCAAGTTAACACCATGCAAATTAGGTGCAATGTTTGCAGCTCATTTTAAGTTGAGTAGCAGGAGCGTACTGAGTATTTCATTCGTAGTGAGCAGTTTATTGGTGTAGCCGCAAGTTGAGTGTAAAAAAAGAGCAATCACCAGTGTGAATCACCGGGGGTAAAAGGAGTCTTTTAATTCCACACATGAGGATTACCCCCCTAGAAAAACTGAAAATCACACTAACTAATAGTAACCTTTATTAGCTTGATGGAGAGAGGACAGCATAATGGTAGTGTTCTATGTGATTAGATCTCCCTTCTAGATACACTTCCAAGGAGCGCAATTCTGAACCACAAATTTGTGTTGCTGAGGACGCAATGCAATGTTAGACATTTCATTTTAGTAAAGTTTTGGCTTGTTATGCAAATTAACACAGGTAATAGTGAACTGTTTTGCTGACATGAGTTCTTGTAATTTCTTTGATGAATGAAAACTGAATGATGGTGGAGAGTTGGAACACATTGATTATCTGAGTGGATACAAGCCACTCAGCAATAGGTACACATATATATGTTTTGTTAGGTATAATTAATATAATATAACTGTTACTGTTCTGTGGGAATGAGCTTATTTCTACTTCCATGCATGGATGTGCACATTAGCTGGTACTGTCTCTTCCCAAATTAACTTTACCACAAACTGAAGGGCCAAAGTGAGAAGTCATTGTCTTACTCCTGTTAAATATAATGTGACCAAATTTGAGTTTGAAAATTGTATCTTTCTAAAATATTTCTTTCTAATTTAGAAAGAAATGTCTATCTAAAAATTAAACATATAAAAATATAAAATAAAACTGTTCTTTATGTTGAATTATGTGGGAAAACATAATTCATTCATTTTTTGGAGGGTAGTTATTAGGTGTAGTTATTGGTAGAGCTGTACAATTTAAAAATTAGTCAGATACAATTTCACAAACATAAGTTCACATCTCAGATTCTTATAAATATTTATATCAAATACTTCCATGGGACAACACTGGAAATGTGACAATTTGATTCATATATAATTAGTTTGTGTATAGCTTTTATAAAAATAAAAATTTTAAGTTCCCTTAACATAACACACAGCCGTTATTGACAAAATAGGGTCAACCCTAAAATAATACTTATTCAGTATTGTATATATTCAATGGGACCAGCATTATTATTCAGGCATTTCCCTAACTCCCTTTTGGTGTTCATCACAGCATGAAAAGTTACCCCTGGAATCATCTTCCTCAGTGATAACCTCCCTGAATGGTGGATGTTAGAGACCTTGCACTCCTCCACCCTCCATTTGAGGACCCCTAGCAGAAGCTGAATAAATTTAAGAAGTGAAGAAATGCTTGGCCTATAAGACACATTTATCCTCACTTTATTTAGCTGGTTTTGACTGTGTAGTATTAATTGAAATCATAATTTTAAGAACTGAATTTAAAATTTATCTTTGTCCGATTAAGATTTGTTTAGGGCTCTAAAACATTTTTTTGTGATGAAACATAAAAATAAATGTTTTTCACTATACTGTTTGTGGAAAAAAAAAGATTTCATTCCAGTACTTGCCTGCAGGGTCTAGATCTGTTTTCTGATAAAAAGCTAAATCAGCCCTCCCACCTGGTCAAATTAGCTGTAAATATGATCAACTGTTGTGTTCCTTTGAATGTAGAAGTGAAGCCACAAGAGAACAGTTGTACCAAAATCACTCACAGGTTCAAACACTCAAGACTGTGCAGTTATGGGCTGATGCCCAGAGGAACGAGAAAACATCTCTACATCTTTTATGCCAGTTACCATCAGTCCTTGCAAGAATACACACTGGGAATGCACAAGCATAGACATGCATGTGATTTCGGCTATCATGTTGTCCTCTTCTTCCCATTCCCATCTTTGTTTCTCTGTGGGAGTGATTTGTCAGTAAGGTGGGGGAGTTAACACTTCGATGAGCAAGCAACAACAGATTACCTAAAAATATATCTTGCGGTTCACACTGTCTCAGCCTTTAGTTGATCACACCCGGCGTGAGCTTGCTTGACTGGAGATTGAGCAACTTGCGATGCGTCTCTTGATTACAACTTGAAACCCACAATGACATAAGGAGTGGATGATAAAAAGCCAGGGTGCATCCATCTGCTGTTATTTTTTTTCTTTCATTCTTACTGGAAAAGACAATAGTCCCATTGTTACTTTACAGTACAACGCTTGCAAAGTGTGCCCTGAATAACTTTCTGTATATCTTTGTTTTGACAGATTTTGGAGAAAAACATCTGGGATCAGATAAAAAAGATATTTTGGCCTTGTGGGAGGAGAGGCGCAGTGGAGGGAACCGTGCCATAGAGGAAGCAACCAATTGAGGCACTTGCCAAGGAAAGACTTAGCACTGAACTCATCTGGGACTCTGACTAGCGGGTGGTGAGAGAAGGAGGCCATGTGGACCGCACGCCTGCTAGTCCTCGCCAGCCTTTTCGCACCAGCCGCACTGGGTGAGTCTGCCTTCTTTAATCCAGTATTTGTCTCTGTGAGCGTCTGGGAGCATAAAAACTAGCCTTGCTTTGTTTTTTGAAGGTTTGAAGTCATATCAGAATAATATTTCCACTATGGAAGTGCCAAATTCTGTCAGTCATCTGCATTAATAGATTTTGCCTTTGTATTGTTTTTACGACCATCTGTGGCTAATTAGCCGTTTCTTAACTTCCTAAATTTTTCACATTTTTTTGTAATTTCTTCAATTTCCAGATTTTTTTTTTTTTTTGGCTTACTTTTGAATTTTTTTTATCCTTTTTACATTCACAACGAGGTTTTGACTGGTTTACATTTACAGAGCAGATATTTAAAAGAGATTCAGAGTAAGAGAGAAAAACTCATGCATTAATTAAGGGGCTTTTTGAATTTAACTTTTATTTTATTTATATTATTGGGACAGTTGTAAAATGGAGGAAAAATAAAGCACAGTTTTGAAACATTTTATAAATAAAAATCAGAAAAGTTATGAGTTCTATTTTCTTCAAACCTTCTAAGCCGGTGCGCCTACATAAATTCATTCTAACTCATCTGATTAATAAATTCAGTTTCCACATGTGAAGTTGAGTAACAGTATGAATCCAGTTATGGTCATGTGAATTACGTTTGCTAAACAGTATTAGGAAACAAAAAGGGCTGAAACAATAAATTAGATTAATTGTGATAAGAGTCTGTAATATATGTGTCAGCTTGGGTTGAAGGTTTTTTAGGGGCCCAAATGCAGAGATTAGGTGGCAGGGATGGGTTTGCAGATTTAATAAGTCTCCACAGAAGACTGAGGCAAAAATCCATAACAAAAAAATCTAAAAACGTCAGGTTGAAAACACATAAGAGGCCAGGAATAGAAAAGGAACCAACAAAACAACATCAGGAAACCAGCACCGTAAAGGTTCTGCTGCTCTTTTTAAGCCCAGCACTCTGTTGAGACTGATGAGCTCCACCTAAGTACACTACCCAGGTTCTCTACAGAGATCCTCTCTTGGAGAGATGCATCAATCATACACACACACAGGAACCCTGACTATATGCCTTTAGGTGACAGATCAACCAACCCTTTAGCAGCAATTATACCTAAAAAAGCTTTTTAATCTTTCAATATGCTCTATCCAGAACTCCACAAGTGGAAAAGTTTTTGTTTCACATGGTTTAATTTCATAAAAATCCTCTTTAACGAACATTTTGCTATCTGATTATTAATCGAAAAAATAATCAACAGATTAATCAATTTGCAAAACAGTCATCAGGTGCAGCCCTAGCACAAAACATCATGGATTTTAAGAACTAAATGAGTCAAAGGGTTTTGAGATGCTTATGAGGTCACTATGTAGATAGATGTAAGGACTATTGGGGTGAGGCGTTGGGCAATCACCTGTAAAAGTGGTGATTCACAACAACCAAAAGAGTTATTGGGAAATATCGCACTAATTTTATTATTTTACCTCTTAAAGGTGTTGACTACTGGGTTCACTATCCACTGATAATGACAGTAAGACTCTCTGGAATACCTTGTTTTTCTTTACTGCCAAATAAAAAAGAGGTCAAGTCAGCACTTTGTCATGCAACTTGTAAAATATTAATGCAGAGTAAGATTAGATTTTGTTAGATTTTAATACCAGTTGGGTGGATAAGGTACGTAGACACACATAAAATGAGAACTGATTTGTGGGAAGAAATTACTGCGAAAACCAAAGCAGTGCTGTAATCAAGTGAGATCTGTTGATGATGGGAGCTATGGAGAAACACTGGGGATTTAGAAAAAAAAAAAAAAAATCAAGGCTAAGCAGCTTCCTCATTTAACCCTGACTCCCAACATTTTTTTTTTTTGCAGATTAGCTTCTGATTAACAGCTGCATATGCCTTCTGTCACAGTGGTAATATCTGTAAAATCCCGGTTGCCACTGAAAGCAGGAACTCTGACGCACCATAAATGAGAAATTGGAGGAAGATTTTGATAAACTGAAGCAAAAATTTTCTTTATAAAATAGGTTGATCTACACGTTTGTTGAAAACATGACTTAGTAGTTCAATATTGAAGATTTGTAAAGATCTCTCAGGTTTACAAATATTAGAGATTTGCTTTCATATCAAGAATTTAGATTTTTTTTGTCATTATGTCACCATAGTAAAATATTTCTTAGACATCAGCTCAAAGGAAGAATCGGTTCACATAGAAACAAGAAAAAAAAATGTATACAAAATCTTGCATATAGTATTTATCTAAAGTGCAACTACCGCTAAAATTATCTGTGAAATGGGCTGCTGGATGATTTTCTGTGGGCGTATTTATTGTCTGTTTGCAGGAGGAATGATTGCCTTCACAGCTTTAGGAAATAAAAAACTGCTTCTGACTCTATTAATTTTTAATGTAATGCCCATGCATTGTTTTCCTGATAGAAGTGGGACAAAGGGTGCATTGTCTGGGTGGGATGTGTAGCAATGTGTTTTTTATGTATTCAGACTCGCAAGAAATGCTCATATGAGCAACTTTATTTAACACAGACACAACTAAACTACTCTCCACAGTACAGTTACAAGTTTATTAACAGAATAATTTTGATTAATATGATTGACTATTTCTTTCCACAACATGATGGGCTAAGTAATATATATAGAATATGCTGATTTAAAAAAAGAATGTACATCATTACAATTTAACAATTTTACACACTAGCTGTATTACACATTATTTAACATGTTTAGAAGATATGCACAACATGAACCTATTAGGTTACTGAATTTAAAAAAAGACGAACAGAGATGTAAAACTTTCATTAAAAGACATAGCACCAACACTCCTACATGCTATCAGACTGTTTGCCTGACAGAACTTATCTTGTGAATATAGGTAAGGCTCCACCTAAGAATGAACAAAGGTTAAGAATAAGCAATGAACTGGTTATAATACATTTAAATCTAATTAACCAAGCTTTAGAAATTCATTTTGAGTTGGTTATTGTTTTACATTTGAAATATTTTATGGCTGAAGATTCAGGACCATAAGACCCCATTATATCACATGCAGGAGTGCATAATCCTTCTCTGCAGACTCGTTGCTTACTTTTCTCTTTTTTGTGTATTGACCTGCTTCTGCTTGCTTGTGCTAACTTTTGTCACTTTCAGGGTGGCACCCACCATTGATTGGCTACTTTTTCTGGTGAAGCTTCTCAATCATCCAGGTCATAGTCATTCCAAAAAAAGTAAAAAAAAAAAAAAACAATCCACTTGACTTTGTTTCCAAGTTTGAAGACGTTTCGCTTCCCATCCAGGACCCTTTTTTCTATTCAGAATGTGAGAATTAGAATTGAGTTTTTGGTTTTATGGAGTGGACCAAAAACTGAGGCTGAAACCTGAGTCCACCCCCTCTGTTTAAGGTTGGGGGTGGAGAGGACGTTTTTTTCAAAAATTCCTGAAAATCCTCCAGTATACCTTTAGCAGGCATGCCATAACAGTGTTACCTCACTACAAGTGATGGATGACTCTTTTAGCTTCCATGAATGTTTGGCAATGCCCAAATATTTGTACTACAAATTGCTTCCAAATATATGTCTTTCTTCAAAGAGAGGATAACATGTAGTAGCTTTCTTCCTCTCAATGCAGCCACACTGCACATCAACAGGTAGTGAACAGACAGCTCTACTTGGGCATCAAAAGTAAATCTCTATGGCACTTTTTTGGACATCCTTTTTATACAAATTGAGACTGCAAGGTCAGTATTCTAGAAACATGAAGTAGTTTTGAAACTATAACAAAAACGGAAGAACAAAACTTTATACCCAGATAATGTTAAAAGGCTATTTGTGAGGGCATAAATCACTAGTACAAGATAGTGTTGTTTCCACTGTTGAATAAAAAAATCTGCTTTCTGTAGCAGCAAAATCTTTTTTTTGCAGAGTAAAGAGCTGCTCCCATCAGATTTGCGGTCAAGGTTAAGGAGACCTTACAATGTTTGGAAATGCTTTGACCACTGTGTTTAGAAATTCTAAATAAGTACATACTTTTAGAGGACTTACTGTGCAAAGGTTTCTGTCCATCATCTCCTGATAGAGGAGTTGTGGAAAAAAATACCAGGAATTGGCCAATCCCCATGAATGCGGTTTTATTTTGTCATTTTTAAAAACCTACCTCTATTTTTTTTTCATTGCACCTCCAACATATATTTTTTATTCTGTTATACCTGTGACAACTTAAATAAAGTATATTCTATTCTTTCAAATTTATGTTTGAAAACCACACTGATCTTCAAGACTCATGAAAAATATAAATCAGTCCTGAAATAAAATCATTGTATTGTTTTCTCTTTCATCAGAGATGTTTACAGCTGCATTCTAAATGCTGTGCAATGCACATTATGCCGCTGCATTAGTTACTCTTTCAAGCTCAGTTTTTGAATTCTGTTCCTAAATCCTTTCAAGAATAACATAACCTGTACAGAGCTAGAAATAAAACATTTATTTTAATACTATCAATTACTATCAATGACCGTACAAAAACGTTTAAAACAAACAACCAAAAAAAAAAAAAAAAAATGAAATAAAATTCATTGTAGAATTAATTAACCAGGTATCGCAGAAAGAACAGGAACAGTGCTTACAATATACAGGATTAAATGCAAATTATATAAATAAAGTGTATCCAAAACAAGAAAGGATAAGGAAATTTGTTTTTACCCAAAACCCTGAGTCTATAGGGTGTAAAATTTCTATGACAAATAATATTGCTTTGTTGGGGCAGGAAAAGAAAAACAAAAGTTAGTAACGGTCAGTAGAAACTTAAATGGTTTGCCACTTAAAATGCTTTGATGGAAGAATCTTGTTGGATAATTTCCGTCTTTCAACCAAGTGCTCTAGTATATAGTGCAGTTACGCAAATCCAATGTAGCATATCTAAAAAAAAAAACGACAGTATATTATATTTTGAATCAGTGCAAATGGATCATAACCAATAAGGTCAATAGGCTAGTTCT